AAATCTTTGGAACTGTGTCGAGCCGCGAAATTATTTAAGAAAGCTTATTTCTTAGGTTCATAGGCCACTTTTTACTGTAAACGTAATATTTTAGAATAAACCGAACCCAATTTGTGTGAAATGAATTTTTCCCTGAAATACACATTGTATTTCTGGAAAAATTGGGCACTTGCGAACGTCAAAATAAAAATGTAGTCCTTTAGCGCTTTCAAAGGAAGATCACTCTTCCGTTAAATGCTTTGACACTCATTTTGTCTATTTGCGTTATTTTCCATGAAAATTCTGAATCATCATTCCAAGAAGCAGGTACTTTCATAACTTTATTAACAAAAACTGAAATCGTAATATCGAGGGTTCAAAACAGACCTTTGAAGCGTAATTCCGATTCATATCTAATACTAATATTATAAAGCTGAAGAGTTTGTTTGTTTACTTGAACGTGCTAATCTCCGGAACTACTGGTCCGATTTGAAAAATTCTTTCAGTGTTAGATAGCCTATTTATCGAGGAAGTCTATAGGCTAATATCACGCTACGATCAATAGGAGCAGAGCAATAATGAAAAATGTTGCGAAAACAGGTTTTCACGCGTACGAAGTCGCGGGCACAGCTAGTTGAATAACATTTGCGTACAATTTCCTCACATGCCTTTGACGGAACCACAACCGCAAACACAACTCGTGAAGCTGACTGTTCACACCCACGCAGACCGCGAGGAAATTAAGGTGCAAAAATTAAACTTTTACGTCTCCAGGGAAAGGTTTCGTTAAAATAACAACGAGTCACCTAATTTGGGCGGTTTTCAGCAATAAACGTCACAGCAAATTTGCAAGGGTCTTTTAGACCCGGTTTCCACCAAAGCGGAGCAGAGCAGAGCGGAGCGGAGAAGTGTTTTGAATAACCGATTTCTTTATTCCCACTTCTCTCCGCGCCGCAACACCGCCAGTGTCAAATACTATAGAACAATTGACGGCCCGATACTTGTCTTCTCCGCTCGGCTACACTCTGCTCCGCTCCGCTGGGACGTTATGGAAACCAGACCTTAACTCAAAGCCCGTAACTAAACGAAAACTGGTCCCGACTCAGAATAATTAGGCTTTACTTATTCAGTTATATTGTTTGGAACGCAGATTGCAGGACAGTGGCTAATCAAGACGACGACTACATAAACACTGGGAGCCTAGCAAAACACAGACTGCTAGTCCGGCAATTGTACCGCCAAGTTGAACAAACAACACTGTTTTGTCCGATCCAGTTGGTTTTCTATCAACATCGACTTATAATAATAAAGTACGAGTAGGTACTTGCCTTTCAAATTACAAACGGAGAATTATGTGATCTAATAAAAACCCACGTGAACGCTTTTACAAAATAACAAATAATAAAAAAATATAAAGTCCTAAGAATGAGTACCTACTTAGTTACTAAGTAATACACAAATAAGTCAACATCATTTATTTAACATTTTTTGAGATACGAGTATAATTTTTAACATAATAATATCCTCTCATGCCTAACTTAAGCTTTGTTAGAGCCTGCGTAGGTTCAATCTTCGTACATTAATATCACGTTCACAATAACGACAATACCTGTGCTTATCTCGGTCGGCAGGAAAAACCATAGAAGTGGTTCATCTTATAATACAAATATAAAAAATTTGAGCTTGCGAGAATGCAGAATGGATGGAAGTTTGTTAATCTTGTACGCTTCAACCATTGAAATTATTTTGATGAAATTTAGTATTAAAGATAGTTTAAGACAGTACTTATATATTTTGTAGAAGGGGGGCACGTACGCGATAAAGATTTTCGGTAACAGAGTTTTTATTTATTTCCCCACACATTTACACTATCTTTACAGGTACTTAAAACCTAATGTTAAATTAACGCAGGCGAAGCCACGGGAAAAACTAGCAATATATAATTTTGTCTTATATTAATAAGAGTATAACGACTGAGAAGAAGAAAGGGTTTATTCAAAATCAAAAATCAAATCAAAAATGTTTTATTCGCTAACAAACCAACTTTTACAAAAATTGTGGTGACATACCTAGTAAGTAAAATTATACCTGTGTGCCTACCATGAGTTTACGTTAGGTGAGCTCGCTAGCGAATACGTCAAAAAATTCTATGAAGATTTTATTTCTTGAAAGTAGCCGCTAGGGGCGCTGCACAATATGTCATACATTTAAATGTCATTTTTTTACGCAGTCGCTAGCGAGCACACCTAACGTAAACTCATGGTAGGTACACTGTATCAGGTAGTCACCGCCCATTCAGAAAGTGCTAGTTTTGAGTAAGTAAAAGGGTTTATTAAAGGCTAAGTAAGCTTTAAAAACTATCATAAATTTTTAGTTTCCTAATCTTCTGCAACTTTATTCTTACGAAGTTCGCCTCGAAACCTCGTCTTCTATAGTTCTCCCGTTAATCTGAGCCAGGACGTTCGGCATCCCATTTGCGCAATGCATAACAAAGGTCTCTCTTAATTAATGGCATACAGATGTGGTCTGTACATTGTATAGTAGGTATTAACCTCCATCACAGTAAGAGCGGTTTCGTACTACGTCCAACCCGAGTCCGTCATAATACGGATCTAGAAACTAACTAGAGAAATCGGATTACGGAAACCAGATCATAGATCTGAAATTAAATTGCTGTGCGTCATTCATCAATTTTTTACAAATATTTACAAAATACGTATGTGTGTATAGGGGAGTTATTTAATGACGTAGTTAGTATGACGTACTTATTTGTTACCGGATTCAGATCTAGTGCATAAACTACCATATACATAGTTCTATTAAGACTCAGGTCTATACTTTCACGGATTCGAATCGGAATCGCTCATTCCAGCCAGTCCACTGCTGGACAAAGGCTTCCCACTAGGATTTTCACAAAGACCGGTCCTGCCCGCTTCCTGGCGTTTCCCGCGACCTTTACCAGATCGTCGGTCTACCTAGTGGGAGGCCTGCCTACACTATATCGCACGTACTTAGCGCGAAACCATGTAGTGGGAGGCTTGCCTACACCACATTTAAAATAGGTACTCAGTGCGAAACCACTCTAAACGTTATCAACTTTAACATTCTAGCTTTGATCAACATTCGAGAGCAATTGATTTCAATTCAATTATTATAATAGCCTTCACATTGTTTGTGAAAGGTATGATATGAGAAAACAATTGATGTTACAATGGAAAATAATATCGATAATGGTTTCCGAAAAACAATACTCGTATATCAATGACAAAGAAAATTATGTGGATATTTGTCGAAATAAAGGAAATCTTTTAATGTTTTTTCACAAATTGCTAACAGTCTCTTTAGCCCCTCGTATTAAGCAAAATATGCTTGTGTCACGAGCGGTAGCGGGGTTCGAACCTGCTTTTCTCGGAGGTCGAGTCGGCCAGTCCGACCCCTTCACCATTCGGCTATCGTGGCTTCATATTTATTGCCTACTTAGTTATTATTATTAATATACTGGAACTCGTCATTTGATTACAAAATTATGTTACTGATGATGACATGCTAAATATGACATGTACTTAATTGTGTTTATATGGGAGCGATTTTGCAACATTAATTATTTTAGTCTAATTTCCTGTAGATTGTAGGAAAAATTTCCAAGCCTCAGGGCGCTACGAAACGTGTTAAAAATGGAAATACAATCAATCATTTTGTAATAAAGGCAGATTTTCTTTGAAGTGGCGACCTTTTCATGGGACAAAGTAGAGCCGAAGCTTCGAAATTACATTTCATGAAAAGAAAATGTACTTTTTAGTCATCTTTATTTTGAAAGTGATACTTAATAGGTAAATATCATTTCGCAGAGTTCAGACTTTACCATGTAGGTATTTACTGTTATTTAACTCACGTGTAGTAAAAGAAAAGTACGAAAGAATATCTCACCGTGTTTAATACCCAAGGGTGATATATAAAATAATAAATAAATAAATACACGCTTTCGCAATTTCCAATGAAGGATAAGATTACCAATAAGAAAAGGCGTGAAATTGTACTCGTATAATAAATCGTTGTGTACGGCGAAAATTGAATCGTCGATATGAATGTTCGTAAGGAAATGTTTTATGAGTATTGTACCTTGATAGGCATATATCTCCTGAAGTGGTAATGTTCTTGGTTGAATATACATACAGAAATACATATTGAACAAATAACATCTTTCCAAGCATTGGAATGGAAAGGCGTAGATATTAACAGCTTTATTTGTATTTCCTGGCTTCAGTAATGAAAGGAAAGAAGAATTCACATCTTTACAAGAATTTTCGTACGTCTTTCAATAACAAAATAAACTATCCACCCTCTATCCCTTTCACACATTAATTCTCTTTCAATTATTCATTTGCGTTCAATTCCATTTATATTTATCGATCATCAAGACTCCGTGACATTCTGAAATGAAGTTGCAAACTCGATTTCAGCACAAGCATGTCAAATGTACTAGTTTGTGGCCAGTTCTAGAGTTTCAGAACTTGGTACAAACTCAAGCATACATAAGTTCCATATTAAAACCATTAGGTTCTGAATCTATTCTTCAGACTAAACTTATGCTTGGATGTATCAGAATAGTCTTTAGTAGGTAATTTAAATTAAATTACCTTAAAACAACAACTTTACTGAACAAGATTAACTGTTGTTTCGCTACAAGTTGGGCCGTGTTGTTTATTACATAATTTTCCTTCAGAAATAAACATGGAAACCGTTACAAAATTTGTTTATAGGTCAAACAAAGTAACATTAATAAACAATAGAGTTCATGAAATTATTAGAAGCTTTACGAAGTTAGGACTCTTGTCTTGTCCTTTTGTTTTTCTTTTTGTTATTGTTTTACAAAGAATCTTTTCTCTAACAATTCTTAAAACTACAATTACACTTCCGAGCAAAAAAAAAGTTTCACGTTACCGTTTCTCTCGAATATTTTCCAAGTTTTTACAAAAAATGGCAGGGCAAAGCTTAAAATAACAGCTGTTCGTTTGTTTTAGCTAACACAGCAGACCTGGGAGTGCTGGATCCCTCACTATACAAATCAGACTGTCTGGATGAAGATCTCATGTGGCCGGAGGGGCACGTGGTATGTATATTTTATGTCTTTAAGGTTGTTGGATACTGGCCAGCAGAATGGCCTTCTTAAATTTTAAAAGCAAATTGTTGATTGTTCTTTTGTTTTTTGTAGGCCACGTCATGTCACTTTACTTTTTTGTAATTAAACAGTTCTGACGCTCCTAGGGTCGACCATCTCAGAATCCTCTTAGATTAGATTTACAGTTCACTCCGTAACAACAAGGGCAGTAGATAAAACTAGTCTTATTGAAATACTTTTTATTAGCTGTCAAAAATTGACCCTGCCGTAGGGAGGGAGGGATCCCTGTATCCCCTCGCCATATTGCCTATAGATACATACGTGTATATACTAAATATACATACTGTACGAGTACATACTACTTACTTATTGATTTGAAAGCTATGCTGAATCATATTTTACAACATATTGAAAGAAAACTAAGTTTTCAGTACAAAGGAGTACCTATTGTTTAAAGAAATTGTTTTGGCGTTAAAAATTGACTGTCTGAAGAAAGAAAATAAATGGCGCGTAGGATCAAACCCGAGTTGGGCGAGTTAGCTTTTAAAATAATAAATACATAACAGTTTTACGTTTTCTTTTTACAAAATATCCTCAATAACAATAACTTGTAAATTAAACGCTGTAAGTTACTTTCCAAGATTTGTATTGTGTATTTAACAATGAAAACTGAAATAAGAATCACTCGGTTCGAACAACAACAAAGAACTGGTATCGAATTCTGGGTAGTAATCTCAATTTATTGTTTGACCTCCATTCTATTTTTACTCCAAAACTCTTATTGATAAAATGCTTTCAACTCAGATGAATGAAATTAAAAATCCGAAATCATGAAATAAAAAGTAACTTAAAAATAAATCAATAAACTCGACCCAAAACAGACCCTGCCGTTTAATACGTTACCATGCCCATTGTGAATTTTTTATGGTTAGAAATAATATAAAAATGCTACTATCGTATCCTACTTCCTACAATCTTAATCTTTCTTTACGTGAGAAACTGACTTTCACGCCAGCAAAGTTTGTGTTTTTCATAATTTTGTTATTATGCATTTTCATATAGTAAATGTCCACACGGTTAACAGAAGTAATACGGTAAAAACCATGCCATTATTATAAAAGCGATCCTCAAAATTAAATTCCCTCAAATTAAAAAGCCCTTACTTCACACGTGCAAATACATACACTCCAGTTTTGTAGTACTATCACAACCACTCACAGTTAAGTAAGTTTTAACCTGAATAACTTCCTTTTTATGAAGGCCGGTATTTGTAATAGCCGCCCGGAAATTGTCAGTCGGTTCACTGCTGCCACGGTAGGCAAACAAATCAGGATTGGTTTGGTATTACGAGTAGAATAGTGTCTTATCATCAGCTAGGTTGATAGCCTAAAGGGTTGTGGGGTACATGTTGTTAAGCATACGAAAAAGAGCGGTTGTGTATGGTAATAATCGAAAATTACTTATGTTTTATTTATTTTATTGAGATTTACAAATACAGGTATTACAGTATTTGGTTCCAATTCGAATAATAAAGATTCCATATCCTCTAAAATGCCAGGACAGTTTCAAGAATGTTATGCGACAAGACGCAGAAATGGGAATTGCGTCTGGTAATAAAATCCACTACCATAAATACCAAATCCCGTATTCACATTAAAGGTTAACATAACTCGCATTAATTGTCGTCATTGATTTCCCTTGACGGCAATCAGGAAATTGAAAAGCCCGCAATCAACACTTCACTATTCATGGCACAATCAAAAGCAGATTCATTGGAAATTCACGCACCGACGAACGTATTTGTAAATCAAATGTAAATGTTGAAGCATTTAGCAAAGATTAAGCTATGTCACTGGAGACACATGATGTTATTATACCTAAAGTGATCACAAGAAAACTCACCTACTTTAACCTACCTACTGAGTTTCTTGCGCTGCTTCTTCTCAGCACTGGGACTGGCCCATTTATTGTCCTGAAGCAGTGGTAGGGTTAATACTGGGACGCGTAAAAGTACTTTTTAAAGCCTACTTGCATAAATAATGAGTTTCATGAGTTTTTTTTTAAATTACTTACTTTATTTCTGAGTATCACACAAATTATATCATGGGGAACATCACATAATTCAATTTAAATTCAATCCGAGTCAGCAGACTGACAACACAACATCTAATTAAATACTACTATGTCGTGGAAATTTACGGGTAAAATTTCCTCTAATTCAACTTAGAGTATATTGGGTATTACAAGCCTAAATTAGCATTTGACTAACACGCATTTACGAACAATAGCTCCGTAAACTGTAACAGTATTTTGTTCAGAGCTCGTCAGCCGCTACGTCAATGTGTGCCAATCCTTAGCAAATCGTTGAAATGACCTTAATTAACCTTCCATTGTAATTTCCCTAGGGTCGAGTGTGGTTCACGCTGAAGTATGAGTCTGGTACCGAGAGGTTACAGGTGCATATCATCAAGGCGAAGCACCTCCCTTCGCGCACTCCCGCACTGGCCAACGCATGCGATCCGTACATAAAGTGAGTATCTAGCGATAGTATAATATGTAGTTAAATTATAAAATAGGGATTTGACACACTAGTCAATTGACATGATTTTCATCATGATCTTTGTAGGTCGTTGTAGTTTTCATCATCATCATCATCTCAGCCATAGGACGTCCACAGCTGAACATAGGCCTCCCCCAATGCTTTCCATGTTACCCGGTTGGTAGCGGCCTGCGTCCAGCGCCTTCCTGCTACCTTTATGTTATGATGTCGTAGGTCCACCTTGTGGGGGTGGACAGTAGGTACTCGTATGTGGTACAGCCTACAGGACTATTCCCACATCTCTTTCCCACCGCTGCAACTTCTGTGTAGCCAAGATCTACAGCTTGACCACCAATAAAAACCCAATCAGTGAAAGTCAAGTTTGTCCCGGGGAAAAAAATTGGGAGGCCTATTTTCGAAAATTTGTCCGTTTGTCACAATAATAAATAACACACACGATATGTCAAATAAAACAGAAGAAGTAAATGTAGTACAAACAATAATTTTGTTATTTTATGAAAAGTGTGTCACGAATTTTAATTTGTATACAAAGACTAAGTACTGGCTCGTTGTTCTTAATGTACCTTACATAGATTTTAATTAAATAACACTAAGTATGCTGTTGCAAGCCGTATATCTTAATAACGAGGGCTCCCGGCTTGCAATGTTTTACATAACAACTAGCTCTACGGCGACCTAATCAGACTTTATTAGATAAACTTTTATTTTCATCTCAAACATTTATTGCCAAAGTAGGCATGTTATTGTTTTAAAAGTTTGAATTGTTATTCTTAGGCTGAGTTGCACCACCTAAATTTAACGGTAACTATAACGATAACCGGTGCATTTTGTATGGAGTTTGACAGATTTTTAACATTTACTAAAGTTAAAGTAAGATGGTGCAACTCAGCCTTAGTCTATGATCTTCTAAGAATATTTTAAGACTCAATAAACTCTTTGGAAGAAAAACTAATAATTTGTTTTTAAATTGCTTTTGTTTGAGAGTGTGGGAGTAGCAAAATAATGTATAAAGATAAATAATTTATTAGAGCTTTTTGTGGGTTTAGTTTTTTAAATAAAACTACGATAATACCACCAAATTACTTTAAAATATCTTTTTACGTCTTTAAGTATTCATTGTTGTTCCTAGATATCGATTAAACACAATAAATAACAATTATTTGATATATATTTTTATCGTTTCACAAGGAAGGCTGTGATCTGTGCGTAATTCAAGACCGTAAAAGAGTGCGGTGATTTGGAAATGATTATACGTAATTTGGTCTTAATGATGTGATTTTTCTTTAGGTTACAACTGATGCCAGATGAGAGAAGAGTGCTACAGACGAAACAGAAGAAGAAGACTTGCAATCCATTCTTTGACGAGACATTCGTTTACCAGGTAGGTAACTAATGTAGAATTACTAATATCTACTACACTGATGCCCGTTTTCACCATCAATCCGCAATTTTAAAGTGATCTGTAAACAAAATTCCTGTTATGTGTTACCATAGGGGTCACTTAAAATTTAGGGATTGATGGTGAAAACCGGCATGATTGTAACATACTTGCTATGTGTTGGCATCATAGATTGACTGCTAGGCAGTAGCCCATCAGGTCGTCATACTCATCAAGTCGTACCTATTTACTGAAGTGTACAGGCGGTCACTTCTCTCATTGAAGATATAAGGACGTACGAGATTAGTAGGTATTTGTAGAATAGTACCTACCTACATACATTATGACTTGAACACTATTCAAAATTACAATAGAGTTCATAATGAAGCTTAAAATTGAGAAAGCGATATAATACAATTATGAAGCACGAATCGATGTAAACTCAAAGCAAAGAAGAAGTAACTAACACAACATGTTATGTTGTTGTAAGCCTTGGTTAACAACATAACATGTATACATTAACCTTGACCTTTCATAACAGGTGTGGCCCACTCACCGACACCATATTGACGCGAACCTGTCGTTACGTTTCCCAAGATCATCCCGAGCTTACAAAGCTTTTAGCAAACTTTTGTTTTCACTTTGCAGGCTTTACTTTGGTTAGCTCCTAGGGTTCCCTAAACAGGAGGTTTATGGAAATATGCTTTTATACCTACATATCATCGGGAACAGTGCAAATCCGCGTTACTATCATTGGATAATACCGCGTATCTGACAATGTACGCAGAATTCTGATTGTCAGTCACCAGTTTGACGGGAGCTACGAGTAAATTAATTGAAATGCAGATACGCGGTTTTATTAAATATTGTTAGTCGGATTAGCACTATCCCCGACAGTGTTGCCAGAAGGTTACTTTTGAACTGCATTGGTTACTTTTAGGTTACACTAATGAAAAGGTTATTTTTAGGTGATTTTTCAGAAATTGTAGAATTAACTTTTACAGGTTATTCAGTAAAAAATATTAATAGTGACAATTTAAAAATTATGTCAAACTGCATTTAAACATGAATTTGATGTATTATTTGTTCAAAAAATGAGTTTTAGCGAATGTTTTTCGATAATAAAACGCAAATGCATGAAACGTTTTTATACGACCGGTCACTTTTCAGTCTTCATGGAATGGTCAAAATTTGGAATTTAGGTAAACGATTGATGATCAATTGTGTTCATTTTCCATACATGAACAACCTTACACAATCGCTCCGCACCCCCCCTTAATGTTTGAACTTAAAAGTCTTCATCTTTACATTATTTCTCAGAAAAACCGCAATGAATATTGAGAGCTTCAGCAAATTTTTATTACATTTTTAAGAAATCTGGCACTCGTAGGGCTTTTTCGGGGCCATCATGAAACAAGATTGAGATTTTAAAAACATAGCGCTACCCGACAATATTTTAAAAAATGAAAATAGTAGATCATTGCCATTTTTCCCACTTCTACGGCTAGTCGGCTACTAATGTTGCCAGGTTTTACAGCATGCTCCAAATCAAAGTCAACCAGTAAAGGCCAAGTTGGTCCCAGAGAAAAAATCTGTATTTACTCGTACAACGAAATTAAGGCTGAGTTGCACCACCTAACTTTAACCGTTACTGTAACGATAACCAAATGTTTTTGTATGGAATTTGACAGATTTTTGACGTTTCATAAAGTTAAAGTAAGATGGTGCAACCCAGCCTAAAAGTTCGAAGTTATCTTCCGGATGACAAATGATAGAGTACAAAATGTTATTAACCCCTAATAACCGCATGGCAAAGTGGTGGGTACGTGTACCCTGTTACGTTGTACCGAGCAAGGGTTTACTTGCCTAAGTGAAATTTATTGGTCGCAACCTGCGGGGTCATGTCGGATACTGTACCTTGACCTAGTAAATACTCTCGGTGTGCGCCTAACGACAGATGGTACTGCGCAAACATGGTAACAGGTAGTGTGACATTTATTAAGTATATTGAATTCTGTAATTTTTGCACATCTGCGAGCAGACTGAACACGTCATGATTCTCATGATCCTACCATAATTGTCACCCTGTATTACTGTGTTACTTGAACTTGTCATTTTACTTAATAAATGAAATAAGAGAGTAATATAATGCCATACAGCTTTCACAGCTTTGTCTGGTTGCGAAAAGTTCTTAGACTTTAAACTTATTTATTTTAACGAGTATTGTCACTACTTTTTTTAAACTTGTGTTTCCTTTACATTAAACTATTAGGTAACTGAAAATATTATAGGTATTGCATGTTTGCAACAGTTACATGACATTTAACAGAATGTACTGTCGCCAACAGGTTAACTTACCTCAAAATTAATTTCATCCGAGCGTTTCTGAACGTTACGTCCTGAAGATAAGGTTCAAACTCAATTGATGAAAATTATTATGTCCGTGTACCCGCATCTAAGGTAAGCTTAGCGCAATACCGCATCATCTAGCTTTAATCCTATTAGAGATTTAAATAGGGTTTAATGAAAGGCTCTAATATACGGAGCGTGGCTTAACCGGCCACGTGCAATAACGGCCCAGCTTTATTATAAGCGACAGTGATGGAAGACAATTTTTATCCTGAAATAATACTGAGGATTGTTCAGGTGGAATGGATTTTCTGTAATATTTCTTGCAAATATATACAATAGAAAACTATGACTGTTTTCTTTTAAAGCTCTGTCGAAAAAAAAAATTTTTGTAGGTACTGTTTAATTTTATTAAAAAAAAACCGTAAGTGTTAGTAGTATCAGAATTAATTTCACTGGGGTTATTATACCTTGTTTGGTACAAGGTATAATAACCCCAAACGACAAATGTGTGCACGATTAATACGGAAAAACGCAAGAAAATCTGTATGAGTACTAAGGGTGGATATTAACAGACAAATTAGGTATATCTTTCTTTCTTCCAACAGGTTTATTGTGTGTATAAATTGTGCCAACTTCTTTGTTCCAGCCCTTTTACTGTGTTATAAAGAAAATCTCATTAACTATTATGTAACTCTACCAAAGGTACATTCTACAGGGTGTTGATTTCAATCCTCGCTATATTTAGAGAGTTGATTAAGTAGCTTATTCTGATCACGAATCAGTAAAAAAATGACTTCGAAAAAAATTTAAAACGAACTTTAACTTTAGTTAACTAGTCAAAGAAAAATACCTATTTACACTACTTACTTTACGTGGCTTCCTTCAGTAGACTATCCGACTAACTATTGCAGTATTGCGAGCCACAGTACAGTTAATTTCGCACGAAAAATATTCGCTAAAAATTCCACTTTCGTTTGTGATTTTTTTTGTGGATGATGCGTTTATTTATGTCATAATAGATCACCTAAATAAATTTGGCGAGGATTGAAATCAACACCCGGTATAAAAACCCGTATTTTCAACACCCAAGACGGTAGCGATAAAAAAAACCGTCCTTATTTATTTAAACCTTAATATAAATTCATAATAGCCCTTTGCGGTCCATCTAACTAGTCGGGTTATAACGATTATCCAATCACCTCTGATGACCTGGATCTTGTAATGTTATTAACAGCTCGGTCATGCTCCGGTCTACAGAGTATTAGTCCCGTATCATTTGAATACCTTTTTCATGCAAATTGTTTGGTCTATTAGTATCGAAAAAGCTGAGCTGAAGCGAATAGACTTGAGTGAGAAGGATTTTAATTTTTAACGAGTTTCGGTAAGGTTTGGGTCTTTTTAAAACGATGTTTTTTAAAATCTATAAAGTATGCACTACATAGAGATTTGAACTGCTAGTGTGTTAAAAGGCACTCATTTAAGGACTCTTTATGTATCAACCGGTACAGAAGGGTTAACGTGCCTTTTTGAAGCACAAGTAATAATATAATTTAAATATAGGGGAGGTACAAGGCAAAAGCTTCCTCAATGTGGATAAAAAAACGTTGTCCAGATATAATCGTAAAGCAAATAGATTTTTTTATGCATAACAAGGCAGGTATTTAACCACAATCGCTCCTGATGTTAAGTGGGATGCAGTCTATGATGGTATATATCTGTCCTGTAAGTGCCTATTCACTCTCGCCTTTAAAATACCCGGATTATAGTCTTCGGGAAAGACAGCAGCAGGCAACGAATTGCAGTCTCTAGCTGTTCGCATTATAAAAGAGTCATCGAAACGCTTAGAGCCTTAGAAAGATACATCGTAACGGTCCGTATTGAGTTGATACCCAAACAATCAGTTTGTGTCAACCAACTCTACATCCCAATCACCTCTGACCCTTTCCACCTGTAATAAAATGTATGTACATTACCTTAATCGGAATATATTTATAGACTTACGTTTACGATAGAAAGGCTGAACAAAATAGCCTTTCCCTTTATTTGCGCATTACCCAACTCAAACATCGTGATCGTTTAAAACCAGTGTTTATTGTATCCAGGATCAGTTATAGACTTATTTCACTTTATAAAGGTTATTAATGCTACAAAATCTTATAAGATGAGTCATAAACGTTTAAATCAAAAGTAAAGAATCAATACCATGAGTAAATTTTAGATTAGTATGGTTTATAAACTTTTTTAACAATATAATTATTTGTAAACATAATGTGAGGATATTTTTTTATCCACAACGAGGAAGCTCTTGGCTTGTATCTCACCTGATGGTAAGTGATGATCAGGCCGAAGGTGGAGGCGAGCTTCACTCGGAATCCTCAACCATAGAGGAACTGGCTATCTTACCTCTGTCGGAACACAACAATTATATTTTATATAGGTATTTTAACAAAAATAAACATTCAATTAAGTAATTGGAAAAGTTACAGGCCCATGAGTCCATCTTTTAATTGAGTAGTACTCGACAGGCTGCGTCCACTTTGAATATGAATGCAACAGAGATTTACAATTTGAGCCTTGACACCGAATAAAATAATATTTGTAGGATAGCACAGAATAATAATAAGTATAGGTACTGTACTAGTGTAAAATGAAATGTATAAATTAATTTATATGAAAAGTTTGTTTCATGCATTTATTTATCATTTATTCGGAGCACCAAGAGTTCAAGCTCATGTTACCAAGTGCTTGTTTTGTAAAGTAAATAATGTCTATCATAATACCACGGCGAGGAAATGTTTTGAAAGTTACCATACTGAACCTGTTGAATACTGGCAACGAACAATATTATGATTTGTTAACGAATCAGTGAACTTCTACACCTTTAAATTATGTAATAAGTAGGTAGAAAAAAAAGTACTGAAGCGCATACTCAAACATGGATTAAGAATTACCTACTAATTTGCCATAAGGAATTTACTCCTAGTTTAGGAGAAAATAAGTTCTGTGTTAATGAACTAAGGCTGGGTTGCACCACCTAACTTTAACGGTAACTATAACGATAACCGGTGCTTTTTGTATGGAGTTTGACAGATTTTTGAAGTTTGTTAAAGTTACAATAAGATGGTGCAACCCAGTCTTAGTCAACTATTTGACTGTTCTAGAATGTAACAGCTTATTCTCTGAAGTAATAACAGTTCAGAAGATTGTGTTCCACTTGCTATAATAATAACATTGTCGAGTGTACGAGACACTGTACTCACTTGGTCGTAGTGTTGTAGAACTAGCGACAGTTAAATCATCGATAAATAGAAATATATTCCAAAAACTTTTGTTATGAATAGTCTCACGATCTAAAAACTAATATATGGTTGGTATAAGTGTGTTATTTATACCAACAACATGTTATACATAATTAGCTAACTAACTGTAGATAGTTTTTGCTTTCTGGATTTTTGTAATACAAGTATTATTGACACTTTTTAACCAACTTCAAAAAAAGAATTAGGAGGTTCTATGTTCGACTATAGGTAATTTTGAATCAAAACGGGTCTAGTATTTCATCAAATCTGCCACGTATCACTGTTTTTAATCCTGTGCAGTTACTGACTTAAACTATTGATTCAATTTCTCAACACTAGTGCATTGCTATCAAGTAAGTGAAACCTAATACGAATAAAATAATATTCTGCTGCTCACTTTTGTGCTTCACCCGAATGGTATCCAATTAATTCAGTCGGCCGTTTGGTGTAGTGGTTCGAAACGGACTACTATTCCGGATGTTGTGGGTTCGATTCCCGCACAGTACAAACATTTGTGTGCATGAACATATTTGTTTGTATTGGACTGGGTGTTTTCTATGTATAATATGTATGTATTTACAAAAAAAAAAGTATTTAAGTATGTTTATATCCGTTGTCTAGTACCCATAGTACAAGCTTTGCTAAGTTTGGGACTAGAAGCGCAGTGTAAAATGTCCAAGGATATTTATTTATTTATTATTTATTAATTAAATAAAGTCATTCAGAGTCCTAAACGATCAATGTAAAAGCTTTTCTTTGGCTTCATTTAAAATATATGTCAAAGAGCCGTTAAGTACCTCTTTGACCTTTGATGTCTTGGAATAAACTTTGTTAATCCGACTAAGTGTCGAGGGATTCAAAACCCTATGCGTCACAAGCTTCGAATGAGTTCGGATTTGGGAAATAACTGATGAGTTTGCCAAATTTTGACGTCATGAATTCACGAGGGAACAGAAGAACGATTGAATACATTTTGTTGTGTTGTTTTGTTTTATTTTGAATCTTTTAAGATCAAAATCTTTTGTTAAAAACTTTTTAGAGATTTGAAAAACTATTGAAAAAATACGATTTTTTATAGGACTACGTTCACATGTCTTCTGATTGTTTGTAGCTATGAACTTTTCTTGGAAAATAAAAAAAAATGGAAAATAAAATGTAAGGCGAAATAAACCACCGCATCAGTTCTGCGGCGGTTGCGTTCGGAAAACTTCGGTCTAAGGTGCTGCGTTCACATGATCTGAAGCTCTCTACTAAAATTTCAGTATATATGGCTGTAGTACTCCCAAACCTTCTGTACTCTTCGGAGACCTGGGTTTTGTACCGAAAGCATATCCGTACGCTAGACAGGTTTCACCTCAAATGCTTGCGAGACATTTTGAATATCAAATGGTCAGATCGTGTAAGAAACACTCAGGTACTTCGACGGGCAAATGTCTGCGGCATTGAGGCGTACCTGATGCGTCGGCAGCTTCGTTGGTGCGGTCACGTCTGGCGTATGGCTGACGAGAGGGTCGCGAAACGAATTTTCTTTTCTGAACTCCAGGACGGCAAGCGGAAACAAGGCGGCCAGTTCTTACGTTATAAGGATGTTCAGAAAAGACATATGAAGCGTTGCGACATTGACCCCCTAAAGTGGGAAAAAACTGCCAGCCACCGTCTGGAGTGGAGGCGCCTGGTGCGGAAAAAAGTTAACGACTTCGAAGAGCAGCGGAAATCTGATCTTGACTCGAAGCGCGATGCTCTTAAAGCCAGACCAGCAGCGGCTATCACCTACAACTACATCAGCGGTGTCCTAACGTGTCGACATTGTTCGCGCACGTTTACCAACAAGATTGGCTACTTTAGCCATGTGAGGGCACATGATAGGGCAGCCCAGCGTAGCCCTCTTATTGCGGACTAAAGGAATTTTGTCGCAGTTACCGTAGCCGAAAGCGGCTTGGGAGTATATATATATACACAACACCTAGAGACTAAATTACATTCTTAGCCCACGTTCTGATTCTAAAATAGTACTTCTGGAAATGAGTTGCGGAATTATGGAAACCTTTTTCTCACGAGATTTTCCTTCCAGATCCCGCCTGGCAAACTTGAGACTCTGACCCTGAAGCTGTCAGTTCTGGACATCGGACGAGTGGGGAAGGGGAAGCAGCTTATTGGACACATCATACTGCCGCTGAGCGAGCTTGAAGGAGTAGCTCCAGATGAAGAACCGCAGCTGTACAAACTGGACATTGAAAAGGTAATGGGTTAAAGTGATGTGTCATTTAATTAGACCCCTAGTAATAGGCATAAGACAAAACAACGGGCCTACTGATACCATGCCAATATTTTCAGATCTACCGGTTAGATAGAGCGGGACTAACGCCTTCCAAAATCCAAGTATTTTACGATCTGTTTATTTCTATCAATCAAAGTGAGACACGTGTCGTGAATGTCATGATTTAGCGACAGTGACCAATACGAGAATTACAGTGACCATTACTTACATGTAATGTACAACGTACATGTAAAAAGATGTGTGTGATATGATCCGTAATGAAAAATTACCCAAAAAAGTGGCGACCACGAACTCGAGGAAATCAGCCATTGCCGAGTAGGCTTAAGATGCGCGCCGCGATAAGGGTTATCACGCCATTTTATCGATTTCGCCCATACATTTTGACGTCGATAAAAAAAATCACAGCGCGCATCTTAGGCCTACAGAAAAACACACTGTGTCTTCTAGTTGTTTTACGACCCCGTGAGAAACGTAGGACCGGAAGTCACTATGCCACTTATTACACTTCTAGGCACTGATGATGATAATAGATAGATCTGAAAATACGGAAATGGGATTACTCCCACAATCACGAATGTGAATATTGTGCTTGACATATTCTTTCTTCTCAGGAGGTACAAGAACCGACGTCTGACTTGGGCGAGATCTTGGTGTCGCTACTCTACAACGAGAATCTGCATCGGCTAACGGTTACCGTAATAGAAACACGAGGACTAAAGGTAGGTCACTGATGATACCAATGATTAATGTGCATAATGATGATTACTATAGTGACGATGAACATGAGTAAATTTTAGAATTGGGTGTATTTTTATGTTATTTTACAGACGTAATAATTAACTTTTAAAAAAAATAAAACCGACTTCAAATGCGTGAACACAAAAAAAACTAAAAATTAAAAATATTGCGTATAAAAAAGTTCAACCCCAATTTTCCACCCTTGGGGGTGAAATATTTTCTTCAAATTCGCATGAAACCACCCTTTTGATAATACCTATTCAACAAAAAAATAATCGTTCAAATTGATTTATAATCGGCGGAGATATTGCGTATAAAAAAGTTCATCCCCAATTTTCCACCCTTGGGGGTTGTTTTTTCTATTATTAAATTTGAATGGGACCACCCTTGAGGTATTACCTATACGCCAAAAAAAGATTTGTTCAAATCGGTTCATAATTGGCGGAGTTATCGCGTAACAAACATAGAAAAAAAAAACATACGGGTCGAATTGATAACCTCCTCCTTTTTTGAAGTCGGTTGAAAATACAAGACTTTTTAGCTTATAAATATAAGAGGAACTTTTAGTATGAAACTAGTATGAAAATCACAATAAAAAGAACATGAAGCTTTACGAATCTTTCAGTTATGTGACACAATTGAGTACCTAGATCTGTTTACGAACTTTTATCTATACAGGGTGACATTTAAATCGTTGGCATCCTTATAACTAAGACTACTCATGACGATACATAGTATAAGGGAGAGTCCGCTAATTTGGACCAGTTTTTTTCAATCCCGTTTTACACATAGTTTTCTTTTGTTTTTGCTAATGTCCATGGTATATAATAAAAGATACATTATTCAACTTACTATTTCATAAGTATTAATTAACATGATTGTTGTATATTTAGCACAAATCAACAAAGTACGAGTTCAGAGCTTCGGTCCAATTTAGCCAACCGGTTCGATAATTTGTACCACAGGGTTACTAAATTGGATTTCAATAAATTTCAAGCCTTTAAAAAAACTATGGCAAAATATTATACGATACATTCTTAACAAATTAGGAAATGAAGAGGAACAGTAGTTAATAACATAGACAATCGATATTGTTTTACAAGTTATCACGATTTTGAGTACAAGTTTTGTAATTCCAATTATCGTAACGCACACTTGTACCTTATCTACTTTGCCAGTCTTTTGCTTTCATTTATTGTTAGTCAAACATAACTACGCTATTATAACTTCAAAATATGATTTACTAAAAAAAATTTCAAAATCCTTTGGTAAAGTTCCATACAACTTGATGTGGTACAATTTAGCCGACTAGGTGATAGTGCTTTTAAAAAATCGGTAAAAAATATAGCTTATAAATACCGAAAAATGTTTCACATAATTGTAATCCACACTAATTTACGCTTTTTTTTTTCTCTCTTTATTTAAGGAGCTTTGTCAAGATGACAATGTCGCTCCATTAGATACAAACTTTAGGTACAATATATCTAGACAATATTTTAGGTACAATGTATTTGTGTCTTATTGTCTAAAATTAGGAAACTAAAAAGCTAGAAAAACACAGTATAAGGCTCTCGCCTCCTCCGACATAGGAGAAGCCAGGATGCTGTTGCACCTGCCGACCGAAAACCCGTCAGGTTGGAACAGCTGAGACCTGGCCTGCCCGTTCCGGACACATTCCACCAAGACATGAACGACGCCACAGTCTTCACACAAGGGAGATGGTTCTAAGCCCATTAAATATTTGAACTTTCTAGTTGGAATGTGGCCGGATCGAAGTCTTAAAGCCAGAACAATATTTCGTCTACTCAACTCACATTTGTCAAACCAAGGTATAATAAGAGGTTTAGGTTGTATCGTTATATACCAGATGCCCTTTTCTTTTGACCTTATATCAAAATACTCCTTCCAAGCCTTATAACAAACGTCTTTAACCAGATACAGTCGGTCAGAATTTACGCTTCTAAATAATATATTAGAAACACCCTGTGATTGAATTTAACAAAATTACAATCTAAACATGTTGACAATACATGTTACTTGAAAACAATGAAAAAATACTTTTCAAAATAAAACACACGTGTTTGTTGTCACGGCAAAAACCACATGGCCGATATTAATTTATTTTAGTTGAGTGTCGCTGAGTGTTGCAATTACAGACATTCAATAAATACTTTACGAAATATGAGGGTGGTACAATTTACCCGGCGGTACAATATACCGAACTCTCCCTATTTCCTAAATATGAAACAAATCCAATGAGTAAATTACTATGTATCATAAGTAGAGTCTTAGTTTAAAAGAATGCCAACGATTTAAATCTCATCCTGTATAACTTATCATTTGGTTTAATTCCTAGCAAATGACAGGAAATCAGAAGTTAGGAATGTTAGGAATGTCAGAAGTCCTCTTGTAATGATGTGACCTTTTCTGTAACTGTAGATTCTCAGTGATTGATCATTCACTCCCGTTTGTATACCATTTTACCGCGGTTGGAATAAGTGATGACCGCAAATGGATCTCGGCAAATGATTTAGCTTCATTTTCAGCGTCCGTTTTTGGGAAACGTTACACTCGGGAGATTATTTAACCAATTTACAATGGAAAATGTTTGCCTTACGCAAAAATGGGTAAACATATCGGGGGATTTTCGGGTTAAAATAAATAGCAACTGTGGAATCATGTTACATACCTATATTACTTTGTTGCATACGCGTTACATACGTTACTCGTAATTTTGTTGGTAAATAAAGCTGCTTTGTTGGTAAATTCTCATGTTTTGGTCTGTTATTTAAAGCCTAAAGTTCATACTTAACAACACACTCAAGATGAAAATCAATAGTTAATTCAGAATGATCTTGATGGACTATACTCGTACATACGTATACTCGTAAGTAAAAATACTATCATTATTTGTGTCATCTGGCAATTTGTACGAAAGCCTTTCAAGTCAAGTACCCACCTAATTTTTCCTCGCCTCTCCGATAACTTTGCCATATCCCAAACTCTTACAATAGGGTCCGATAAACTTCGTCTCCTTGTAATCAAGACTAGTTCGGATAGTTTATTTGAAGTTTCTTTATTGGAGGAATTCATACAAAAAACGGTTCCAATTCGGGTATTTTCTGAGTAAGAACTTGTCATTTCTACCATACCAACACAGTTACTTGTTAATTTGAAAATGAAATAGACATATTTTGTGGTGATTATTATTGACATAGAAAACTTACTTACAACCAAGCCTTTCAAGTACCAGTGACTCGAGACACAAAAGAAATCAATTATTACCGCGGTCTCTTGCGACCACTTAAGTGTTCCACGGGGTAATAGGCTTATCATAAAGGAACTAAACTAGACATAGTAGTACTGCATTCCTTGCCTACAATCAATTTCAAAGCAGAAATAAACACTAAAACCAACATCTGTCCACAACAGCTAGACCCATCATCGCCTAAACGTGAGATGGTGGTGCGGGTCACGCAAGAGCGGGCGTGTCGCGGGGTGCGCGCGCGCCGCACCGCCGCGGTAGAAGTTGCAGACGACGGCAGCGCCCTCGTCTCAGAGTGCTTCCACTTCAGATTGAGGGCGGACGAACTGCACACTACAAGCGTGACGGTGCAGGCTTTGCAACCGCACTCGGCGTGTGCCAAAGGTGGGGATTCTATAGCTACTTCATTGAAACTATCTTCGACCAAAGCACCAGCGGAAGAGGCGTACGACGGCAGCGCCCTCGTTTTAGAGTGCTTCCACTTCAGATTAAGGGCGAATGAACTGCACACTACAAGCGTGACGGTACAGGCTTTGCAACCGCACTCGGCGTGTGCCAAAGGTGAGGATTCTATAGCTACGTCATTCAATCTATCTTCAACCAAAGCACAAGCGTTAAAGGTGGCAGACGGCAGCGCCCTCGTCTCAGAGTGCTTCCACTTCAGATTAAGGGCGGACGAACTGCACACTACGAGTGTGATGGTGCAGGCTTTGCAACCGCACTCGACGTGTGCCAAAGGTGAGTCATCTATAGCTATCTCAAGGCAGAATACTTTAATCTAACATTGAGGATAATATGTAGAGTTGGCGAATGCTGGCAGCGCCCTCGTCTCAGAGTGCTTCCACTTCAGATTAAGGGCGGACGAATTGCACACTACGAGCGTGACGGTGCTGTCTTTGCAACCGCACTCGGCATGTGCCAAAGGTGAGTCAGCTAATGCTACGTTACTTCGACCAACGCGCAAATTTCTGAGAGGGTAATATGTAGAGGTAGCGGACGACGGCAGTGCCCTCGTCTCAGAGTGCTTCCACTTCACATTGAGGGCGGACGAACTGCACACTACAAGCGTGACCGTGCAGGCTTAAGGCTCAGCTCAGCGTGGGCTAAAGGTTAGTTATTATAAATACTTCAGCGTCAGCTTCAGCTATGTCAGCGTGTAAAAATTGCAACTAAAGTTTACCAAGTGGTGAGAGAATGAAGTCAGGAAAACAAGATGCTTTCATCTTATGGAATCACATGTTACATTATGATAGCAATTAAACATCTGGTGAAGGTCGACGGAAAGCACCTGGTTGCGAGCAGAGCAAAGCAGAGCCGGTCTTTGTAAAAATCCTTGGGGGCTTGTGTCCAGCAGTAGACGTCATTTAGCTGAAGTGACGAACGAACCAGTATAACAGTTGTAGCCATCAACAACCAAACAAGATTAGGGTAACGATAACTTAGCAATGTAACGCGCAATTTGTCATAAAAACACCTACTAAAAAGAACATTGTTAACTGCGCTATAAAAGATATTATCGTGTAACGAAACACTGTGTGAAATAACGTAAGTTCCACGGGCGTCGTTTTAGGGCTCGCATTATTAATTCACTAGCTTTCCGCCCGCGGCTTCGCCCGCGTGGATTTTTGTCTGTCACAGAAAAACTTTATCGCGCGCGTCCCTGTTTCAAAAACCGGGATAAAAACTATCCTATGTTCTTTCCCGGGACTCAAACTATCTCTATGCCAAATTTCATCAAAATCGGTTGCGAGGTTTAAGCGGGAAAGCGTAACAGACAGACAGACAGACAGACAGACAGACAGAGTTACTTTCGCATTTATAATATTAGTTGGGATTGGGTCTGCGAAACATTTTAACGGTCTACAAACAAGCTTTTGGATTATGAATAAAAAAAGTTATTACTAAGACACGCATTATAAATGTAGGTAGGTAATTTTCGATAATTCACATGGGAAAATCCTCTGCGGTACCCAAAAGCAATATTTGCTGAACATGTGAAAGTTGGGATGTGACATTCTACATTATACATAACCTTCCTGAAATTTCACACCTAAAACAATAACCTCGGGATTACATTTATTGGATATTCTCTAAATTCCCTCGAGTACAAAAAGTCTAGTATGTAGAAGTATGTAGAAAGGACATAATGCCTAAATATACCTAACGTTTAAAGGTAAAAAATCATGTGGTTATAATTTTTTTTTTCATTAAAAGAATATTAACAATAAAAGAATATTGATATCATTATGATGAAACGAGGTCGCATTTAAATAAGTAAAACTCGTATTCTTTGATATTACAAAATTAACTGTTTCCGCAAGTGACCGCTAAAGTACAAAAATAACATTAACGAGTCCCAAACCCATTTGAAACGACGGTCTGTGACGTCATCTGCCCATTTAAAGGAATTTGAACAGAAAGTCAACCTACAGACAGTTATTTAAAACCCTCATTTATAAATATAGCTCTAAGGATTTGCCACACTGAATGCGTTATGCGGTCTGCGGTTAGAACAATGTTAACGCATCCCGCATCATGTATGAACAACATTGTCGGTTAGGCCAATCTATTAGCGGTCCAGACAAGACAATCTGTCAGCGGTCGTGACGAGGCAATCTGTTATATTTTTTTTCGTGAAGTCAGATAGCATCTGTTTCTCATATAATTTAAAAAATAAATTCATAAAACTCATGCATTTTTGAAAGTAGGCTTTTAAAAAGCAGTTTTACACGTCCCAGTATTAACCCTACTGCTACAGGGCAATAAATGGGCCAGTGCTGAGAACAAGCAGCGCAACAAACTCAGTCTGGGAGACCGTAATGTTGTTCATACATGATACGGGCTGCGTTCAGTTTGACCTGACAGCTGATCGCAGAACGCATCCAATGTGGCAAATCCTTGAACGTATTAAGCTCATAGCAAATTCGTTCGTTCGTTCGTTTCAGCCTAATGACGTCCACTGCTGGACAAAGCCCTCCCCCAAGGTTTTCCACAATAAACTGTCCTGCGCTACCCGCATCCAGGCTCTTCGCGCGACCAGATCATCGGTCCACCTAGTAGGAGGCCTCCCCAGGCCTCCTACATAGCAGACTTATCAACTCGGAAAGGGACCAACACCGTATCGCCCTTGGTAACGCCATTCGCGTGCTGTCATTGCCTTTCGCGGGCTGTCAATCGCGAGGTGAGGCGTTTACGTTACGGTGCGGATAAGTATGCGTTGCAGTATGGAGTTTCATACAAAGAATACTGACCGCCTCGAGTTGATACGGTTACGATTCCTTTCCGGGTTGATTAGTGTGCTACGTCCTTTAATTCGTAAAGTTTAAGTTATAATTAGGGTTGCCACGTAATTAACCTCCCACGTTTCAGATCGGCTCCTCGGCAAGTTCGTTCTCGGCTCGTACATGTTCGCCAGAGGGCGCGCGTTGCAGCACTGGAACTCTGCGCTGGCAACACCGATGGAACAAGTCAAACAATGGCACCCGCTCACTAATTAAACTACAAACTCAGGCCGTAACATGGTGAGATGGGCAACCCTGGTTTCCTGTTGCTTGGTATTTACACGTTTTGTTTGTTAAATTTATTATGTCTCTTATGATTTAGTAATGATTTTAATAATATTTGAACGGTTGTTCGTGTGAAAGAGAGGATCAGTATTCAATGAGTTTAATTTCAATCTATAAAGATACACATAATACTTAGGTCAACGGGTCTACTTCGTACTTGATTCGACTAAACACAACTATAATATGTTACCTACGTAAGTAAAAAATTAAAGGTTAGTTTATTTAAACTTGCTCTATAATATACAGATTTTGTCCATGCAATTCGTGGCTATTTTGTTCTAGATATAACTTGTCAGAAATTAGAATTGAAGAAGATAAGTACAAATTCTTTCAGTAAAGTAATAAACTAATTTCAGAGCGCCATCTCAGCCCTGTTACGGTATTTTAGATGAAATTAATACCCGGCCAACGTATGAAATTGATAATGTAAGTTTAATAATTAAATAATGCGTTTTTATCGAAGGTATTATCTAGTCAGTTTCATTTTATTGGGGTAATTTAAGACTACAAGATCTCACACAAATAATGTTATTTACTTCCCCTTCCCTTCGTTATTTTATTCAAAATATAACATTATATTCTATCTGCATTAAATATGTAACTGTAGATACTATAATTTTATACGTCATGTATATTTAGTTAAAAAGTATATGTGTAACATATCTATTATAATAAAATAAGGTTTAGTAAATTGTCTATTTATATGAAGTCACTGATATTTTTGTATCTCAAGTTTACACACTTTAAAGAACTTAAAAAGTACTTCGCTACCAATCTCTTAAAATATCGATTTAGTATTTATATTTAAAACATCTACTGCAGTATTTTATGCTTTTAAATAACTATTTGCCCAACTCTCTCTTGTAATAAATATTTATTTTACAATTCAGAAAACTTTGCACTGACACAATTTAAAGCGTAGAGTTTCTTTTACTTCTTAATAATACTCATAAAATAATTATAAATGTAACTTTTATAATAATAATTTGCAAAATATGATCTATAATATTAATGTAATATTTATAAATGTTTATTATTAGATGATATTGCCAATACTATTGACATAACTATACACATGTATTAGATATAATTTTGACATTGTGCATATTATTATGAAGCCAATAAACCTAACACCAAAGAAGTGGTGGAAATGAACAAAAGTATTTTATTTTGTACAAAAAAATTGGTAAAAAGATCTATTAAGTATTTTTCTTTATTTCTTAACTAGCGGCCGNGTCTTTGCAACCGCACTCGGCATGTGCCAAAGGTGAGTCAGCTAATGCTACGTTACTTCGACCAACGCGCAAATTTCTGAGAGGGTAATATGTAGAGGTAGCGGACGACGGCAGTGCCCTCGTCTCAGAGTGCTTCCACTTCAGATTATGCCAAATTTCAAGCGTCTAACTTAAGCGGTTTAGATTTTTCATACAAAAGGATTTTCCCGCTAATTCCCGTTCCCGTGGGAATTCCTAAGTATCCTATAACCTGCCCAGGAGTATGAAGAATAATTGTACCAAGTTTCGTTAAAATCCGTCGAGTAGTTTTTGTTTCTATAAGGAACATACAGACAGACAGACAGACAGACAGACAGACAAAAATTTTACTGATTGCATTTTTGGCATCAGTATCGATCACTAATCACCCCCTGATAGTTATTTTGAAAATATATTTCATGTACAGAATTGACCTCTCTACAGATTTATTATAAGTATAGATTACACATGCAAGGTTTATTTAATTCCCTTCAAACTGGTTACTCTTGGGTCATGATAATTTCGATATTAAGGTTACTTTATGAATCCTTTAAAATCCAGCACCGTGCCCTACGTCACCTACGTACATTACAAAACACATTTTTTTTAATTTCTTCTCAAAATTCCATTCAACTAACATTGGTCTCTATTTGGCTCTACAACTGACGTGAAAGCCTCAACGTGACCACGACAGCTATGCCAAGAGCAAAACGAACAAGAAGAAGACCATTGATCTATAAAAATAACAGCAAATATCAAGTGCACTCAAGCGTGACTCAAGTGTCTAACATGATTGGAGTTAAAACTCTAACGATCTACAGTATAACACTTCACTAGACTAGTTTTCTCGGAATCATAGCTTACAGCAAAACATTTTCTTATGAAAGATTCAACGGGATGTCATATCTTCTACTAGAAAGGATGCGGAAAGCACTATAATTAGTTAACTTATAAATCAATATTATGAATCGAAACATGAGTCGTCTACTTTTGACATGTTGTCAAAAGTCATAAGAAAGTACAAGTCCTGGACATGATTCTCTTGAAATACAGTCGCCGACACCAAGCTACCGTGCTTGGTGTGTACAGTCCATAAGAATTATTATTAACTACCCTATACCATGACCCTTCCTGAGTGGCAGCTAGTAGTAATTTTGCTACACTGTACATTTTGATGAGCCAAAATAAACCATTTTTCTTTCTTCTCTCAATATTCTAGCAAGATTCGTAAATAACACATACTCGTAGTTAACCACTTTTGTGAAAATCTACGCTCAGTTAATTAGTTTTCCTCAACCATAATTAAAAGTAAGAGCACTTAAAACACTTGAATCGTACAAACCCTTTTAGGCTCCTTTATGCTCCCGACAACATGGTCTAACTCAATTAAACCCAAAATGAGACCTCTCGAGGAAAGCCTACCAGAAAAGGCTTTTATTTTTACGATAATATAATTTATGATGCTACTCGTATGATGGTTTACTAGGAAATTAATGGTAGGTACTTGAATTTAACTAACCTTTTTTGCAAGTTTAACTAATAGACTAAGTGCTGGTGAACGCCAGACCTACGTAATTTTGGCAATCCTTGCCAGACAATCTTTTGAGGGTAGCTGCCAAAGCTACGATAAACCAAACTTCATGATGCAACAACATTCTAATTTATATAACTTAAATCCTAGCATCATTGCTCTTATGAATTACTTTGGCCTAGATCCAGTGAATCCCATAATGACTGAACATTTAAGAAGACTGTACATTTTACGAGCATTACTTTAACAAAATACCACTGCAATGTTTTTGGTAACTGGGGCAAGTGCGTTGGTAGAGCAACAGTAGAGCCCTAAAAGCAACTTAACAAACATCATTATACTCATTACTTTAGCTGAATTAGTCGAACCTATTCGCAAGCCAACTTGGCGGCGCACTGTAGCACATGAGGCGAAGAAAATCAGCAAGACCTGGAGCGAGATCAAACGCGAAGCTCAAGACCGAACGCGATGGAGGACTGTTATGGACGTCCTCTGCCCCATCTAGGGGACATAGGACCATAAGTCATAAGTCATTCGTAATTTTAAGAAATAGGCATGTTTTTCGGTAACCGAATTCAGTATTTTATGACATTTTGGAAACGTTGATCATTACCTGCCTACAATAAATATTGACATGGGTGAAACAATTTTAACGGTTTACTATAATTTTCTACTTTCTAACAGCCCTTCGTCATTAAACTACATTATTATTATACGTTTTGTAACTAATATTGACGACAAAAAGAGTAGTTACGATTGACATTATGACATGTAGGCGAGATGCTGTAGAAAGGCGCAGGTGTAAAATTATTTGGGACGTCCCAATACTACAGACAGACCTCCGCGTACATAAAGGTACACCTATAAAAGTTTCTAACAAACTAATTATTTATAACAGATATTATAACTTCATTAATAAACAGGCTGCAATAAACTGGATGTAAACGGCTGGGGACAGAAATCGGTTGAAGGCTGAAGAGGAGGCTTGTAATTTTAGCTTAATTCGGATTTGTTGATATTTTGTGTCGTTGAATAAAAAAAATATTTCATTTTTTCAATAATAAGTGAGTTTTATTTTGCAATTCTCTGCAATTCGACTATCCTATCCCCAAAAATAATCCTCCTGACCGTCCATTTACCCCTTCGTCCCGAAATTAAGCTTCACTCACGACAGCACTAGCAACACCCACGTATCGCCTCAGTAGGTACATTGTGCAGTTCTGTTCGCCTACAATAAAGTTGATAATGGGACAACGACGCCTGTCATTTTGATAGAGTTTCATTACCGTGACGCAGACGGTTCGCAAAATGCGTGGGTGACGGATGAAATTGTATTGAGTATTGTTTCACACGTTTGGGAGCTTTTTAAGTTTACAATGAAATTGTCTGTATTTGGTTTAATAATGAGTTTTATTTATAGAGGTTCATTCACATACCTTTTAAAGAAATTTAACATTTAGGTGATTACAGTAAACCAATTTATAAATCAAGGCCTTAAAATGGATGTACAAATTAGGGAGCATTTTAATTATGCATGACGTAAACTCGATTTGACTTACTCAAAAACAATGTAAGTACACATAATGATAATCATGCAAAAGTTATAATTAGAATGAGTTTATTTACATTTAACCACTTGTCAAATTCTATACAATTTCTCGTATTAAAATACTCTACAATTGGGTTGCTACGAAAATTACACCTGAAAGTTATTCAGCCACGTCATTAATAATAATTAATATCTCGTAACCCTCAAATGCTGACAAAAGGTGTCATAAGCCCCTCTGGTATTATTCAACAGTTGAGCACGGAACCTGGAATTAACGCTGGCGTCTAAAGCTCAAGATTCTGGGAAACTAAGTAACATTTCAATTTTGCTATCTAAGGATTAGTTAAATTAGAATATTACAGTCATGATATTACTAATACTGATAGGCCTCCTTATACTAATTTCCCAGCGAATACAGAAAATAGAAATATCAATTGCTACCGCGGTCTCATGCGACCGCTTAGTGTACGAAACAGGTCGCGGAAGTCTAAGGCTACGGCCGGATACTCGCGACACCTCTACTCGGGCGATGACGGAACGCCGCGGAGGTTTTAGTGGCTATACACCGTCCTTTCAGGACTGAGCAGCGCCCTTTTCAGAGCGCTGGGAGTCCCACACACCACCCTGTCCCTCGGCAGTGGTGACGGGTAACGGAACGAAAAAAGGGTACGAAACAGGTATGGGACGATGAATGTATTAATTTTTACTGGTTTAACTTTCTTTTCACAATTATGAATACCGTCAGTCATTTTTCTTCTTTGCAACGAAGGGCAACAGTAGTAATAATTCAATAAAAAATATAGTATTTGTACTTTCATACAAAAAGTACACATCCCTCTACTTAATAACTCGTTATTCCTATAACATTCCGCGTAAATGTTTAAAGAACCTAACAAGGATAGTTTAGCTTCTGTTGTCCCATCCCTTATTCCCTTCCGCCATTGTAATAGCCATGCCATAAGCACGTACCAAAGACAATTTCCCCTATATCTTTATTGGACTTGG